GCGTAACGTTAGCGCCTCGTAGCCCTCCACCCGCAACCCGGGGACGTGGCCCAGCTAGGGCAGGGGGCAGGCGGCAAGCGGGCCGCGATGCGCAGCGCGGAGCCGCGCAGCGCTCCCACCCAGCGCGCCAGGACCTGGAGGAGGATGCGGAGGATGGGACGCCCGCCCACTTGCTCTCTCGCGCCCCCTCTACCTCCGGACCGAGTGAGGAGCGCGGCTTCTGCAGGGGAAGCTTGGGACTGCACTGCTTTAGCGCCCAGGTTCTGAGCCCGCAGGGCGCGGAAAGGATCGTGCTACTCTTTGCTCTTGGGGTTTTTATCGGCCTGAGAGTGGGGTAGTGCATGAGGAGGGGGCGGAGTAGAGATAACGGATTCTGGTACCGTCCTACGAACACGGGAGTGGGACATAGGGCGTGTCCCTGCCTTTGGCCACCCGCTGTAGCTGCCAGGGACACTGCCGCTGACGGGCTGGGGGTCCGGTCTTCCGCCTCCTGGGTTGTCCCCTTCCCTGAGAGGACCCCAAAGGCGGGCCCCTAATCGAGCCCCCGTGCTCGGCCCTACCACTGCCAGGTGAGCGCTGGAGATTCAAGTTGAGTAGAGGATCCCAGCCCCGTCATTTGGTAAAGAGCTGGGGCTACTTGAGGTCTTGTCTCGGCGTTGAGGACACTTAACCAGGGGTGCTGATTGGGAGAGGGCCCAGCCCCTCAAGATCTGGGCTTTCTCCAGCCGCCACGTGTGACCAGGCTGCAACCTCATCTTTTTAAAACCCGCTCCTGGAGGAGGTGGGGGCTTCCTGGAGCCAACCTGAGAGCCAGAGCCTGTCAGGCCAGAGCCTTCTCCACAGAAAATGGTTTCTTTTTAAAAATCTGGTGCTTACAAGAGGCAGAAGAGTTTGTTCCATTGGAGCCAGTATCCGATTTTAAAAATCAAGTCCACAATCTATCCTATTCCTATAAGTGAGGATCCAGGAAGTTTTCATTACCTAGCTTATATGTTTAAAGAATGTGGAGCTCAGGAGTTCCAGTGAGATTTTGGAGAATTTTATCCAACACTGGCACCCCCTGCTCAAGGAGACTGGCCCAAGGATGTCTGACTTAGGCTAGGATTGCTATTTTGGAAAGGAAGGAGAGAGCTAGACTTTTCCTCCTGGATGTCTAAGAGACTCCTCAAACTTAACATACCCAAAGCCGGCAGCCTTATCTTTCCCACCCCAATCCAGATTCCCTGTAATTAATTATTAACGGCACCGTTTTATACTTGGCAATCCAATCTATTCCAATAATTTCTTTAATCTCATCCTCTTTTCCCTCATCTAATCAATCACCAAACCCTTCGGCTCTACATTTTAAAGTATCTCCCATTCTTCTAGCTTCTCTCCAACTCTGTCATGAATACCGTAGGTCCTAGCGCTCACCATCTCTCTCTTGGACTACTGCAAAGCCTCTCAACTGGGCTCTACACCTCACCTCATCATCCTCCTCTATCAGGCACTGACAGAATGATCTTTCTAAAAAGAAAATGTAAATAAAATCTGCCAATGCCATTGCTCTCAGGAGTAAAGTCCAAGCTCTTCAGCATGACTCTTCACAGGCTCCCTTGACCTAACCAGCTCCACACTCTGGGAACCAACCTCTTACCTTAACAATCCTCAGCACATTGTGCTATTTCTTGGTGTGCTTCTGCCTTATAATGTCTTTTATGTCCAGGAACTCTCACCTCTACCTTGTTCACCTAGAAAACCATTCTTTCCCCAAGGTCCAACACAGTATCATACCTCATCCCTCCCTTCTATCCTCATACACACACATGGTAGAAGGAATCATTCCACTTCTGTGCTACCATGTGCCTCATACATATTACTGCACTGACCTATACTGTATTTTAAGCAATCATTAACAGGGCTGCATTAGGTCCATCAGATCAGTCATCTTTTTTTTTTTTAAAAAATGATTTTAGAAAGAGGAATGGAGGGAGGGGGAGAGAGAGAGAGAGAAGCATTGACTTGTTGTTTGATTTATTTATGCATTCATTCTTGTATGTGTTCTGACTGGGGATCAAACCACAACCTTAGTATATTAGGATGATGCTTTAACCAACTGAGTTACCCCACCAGGGCTCAGACCAGTCATCTTAATCGTAGGGACTCTGTCCAATTAGTTTTTGTATCCCTATCCAATGAAACATCCAACACAGTGCCTGGCGTAAAATAAGGAGCAGCAAATCTTTAGAGAACTGAAAATCAGCTCTCCTAAAAGCACAGTCCATCTTGTTGGTCCCTTCATTGTCCCCCTTTCCATTTTACAGATCACAGATCTTGTACATCATAGACCATCGATATAAAGATCACTAACTCCATCCTTTCATTTTTTAGTGGAAGAAACAGTCCCAGGGAGAAAAAAGATCACATGCAACCAAGACTGTATTCAGCCTTCTGTTTCTGAGACCAAAGTAGTGGGGGAGATCTTGTGCTCTGGGGTCAAGCAGACCTGGGCTTCAATCCAATTTTTTAACTTACTAACTTAGGGATGAGTCTATTCCACTGTCTAGGCCTTAGTTTTCTCACCCATATAAGGGAGGTAATAAGAGGGTCTACCACATAAAGTTGGTTTTTTTGTTTCATAGTGAATAAATATTCAGTCCAATGGCTCCTCTGTGAAAATCACCAAGGCACAGTACTGGTCACTGGGTAGACTGCAGTGACCCAGACTGACATTGTTTCTGCTCTCAAAGCTCACACTCTAGTTGAGAAGACAGCAGTTAACAAGGACGTAGATGAATAGGTAACCAAATTACTTAGAGTGATACATGTCCTGAAGGAAATAAACAGGATGAAATTATGAAGAATGCTGGAAAGGGGAGATGGTAGATCTACTTGGATAAGGAAAAGCTTCTCTGAGGAGGTAACACTTAAACTGAGACTAGAAGGATTCGAAGGATGTAGATTATGTGAAATAAGTGTAAAGTGATTAGAATGATGCCTGTGCAGAGTAAGGACCAAAATTAATGTTGAATATTTTTGATATTTCACTTATTCCAGCGGTTTCCAACCTAAGAGCTGAGAATCTCTAAGCGGTGTGTAGTTATTGCACACTAAGAACTTCTGTATACTAAAAAATTCAGTGCAATGTTTCAATTGTAGGTATCACTGAGAGGAATAAAAATACAAATGCTCTTTTTATATATATCCATTTTAAAGTATAACAAGACACTGTATAGTATGAAGAAGACTGAATCAAGATGAAGAAGAGTGGCAAGATAGGCTACCATTTTTTTTTTAAAGATAAATGCATAGCCCTGACTGGTGTGGCTCAGTTGGTTGGGCATTATCCTGCAAAGTGAAAGGACACCAGTTGAGTCCCAGTCAGGGCACATGCCTGAGTTATAGGTTCGCGACCTGGTCATGGTGCATAGAGAGGGAACTGATTGATGTTTCTCCCTCTCGTCGATGTTTCTCTCCCTCTCCTTCTCTCTCCCTTCCCTGTCTCTAATAAAATAAATAAATATTTAAAAGGTAAATATATAAATATTTGCAAAGCATAGATTACCTTTGAAAGGACATAGTACAAATTAGAACAATCACTGACTCTGGAAAGGGCATGCATGACTGAGGAATGGAGCACAAGAAGGATAATTTTCATGATATTCCCTTTAGTACCTTGTGAATTTATATCAAGTTTATATACTACCTACTCAAAAAATTTTAAGAGATGATCCTCTAAATTTTTACTGTTGCTTAATTTTTATCCTGTATTTTCTCAATCAAAGGTACTTAAAGTAGGACTACTTTTATATGGGATTCCTCAATTTTTTTTTTTTACCTCTAAATTAGATTCTTATGCTTAAAGGGTTGGGAATTACTTCACTATAATTTTATCTTACTTAGCATGCAAAGGTAACTTAAGATACCAAGTCTACTAGAATTCCTGCAGCCACAGAAGGTAGGTCTTAGGCAGAGACTTCTACAGGGAAGAAAGATACCTGTTCAATTTTCCTCGAAGTGTGATGTGTATTTTACTCAAGGTGTGATGTGTAGGAGGGTGAGATTTCAGAATTAGCCACAGTCATTTAGTACAAAAGAGCAGGGTATTTGGTTTCCTAGGACAGAATAATTCTATGTTGACTTTTTCCTGGGGATAAAACTGAATTAACATGCATGTTTTAGAAAATAAAGCTTGATATTCTAAACCTGCTAACTCCTCATCATAAATTCAATAATGGATAATAAAAATAAGAATAGCTACCATATATTAATAGCTGATTGTACCTATATTTCCATGCCTCAAAGACTGCATTGTACAAATTGAAGACACTTATAGAAGTTTAAATAACTTGCCCAAATGACAGAAATAGGGTTCCCATTTAGGCTTCCTATTGTCAAAACGCTTGCTTTGTACACCACCACGTCTCTCTGAGGGGGAGGCATCTCTCAGCCTCACTTTTATTGTCACCTGAGAGGTCTCTGAGATCTCTAATATCTCCAAACTACTTTGCTAATGTCAGACCATTTGAAATTTGTAACACTACAGAGAAAGTGGTATAAGCATCATTTTACAAAAAATGAGGAAAACTGAGACACTGAGAGAATTTAAATAACTTTGCCAAGATCACAAAACTACGAATGATGCCAGAACTTAATACAAACTCAAGCTCACACTTTTCGGGGGGTTTTCCTTATTTATTTATTTATTTATTTATTTATTTATTTATTTATTTATATTTGTCCAGCCTTACTGAGGCATAATTGACAAAATGTATGTATTTATTTATTTTTAAATAAGTCAATTTCAGGACTTTAAGGTTTATGAAGGAAATGTAAGTTAACACACTAGCACAAATAATCCATGTCTAACTCATCTTTGTTTTCATTTCGTAGATTGCCTTACATAACTATTTTTATAGTGAAAAGTCCTGATTTTGCTATTAAGTGCCACACATTATGCTTTGGCTCATATTTCTTTTGAGGTAATCAAAGGGTATGAGGATGCCCATTGGGACACTGCACAAACTATGGAACACTACACAAATTTGCATGTCATCCTTGCGCAGGCGTCATACTAATCTTCTTTGTATCATTCCAATTTTAGTGTATGTGCTGCCAAAGTGAACACATGATATATTTAAAGTGTACAAGGTGATAAGTTGTTATATGTTGTGAAAGTATTCATACAATTGAGTTCATTATCACATCCATTACCTTGTACATTTACCCTGTTTGTTTGTTTGTTTGGTGAGAACACAAGTTCTATTCTCTTAGCAAATTTCAATTATATATCATCAGTCACTATGTTATACATTAGGTTTTAAAAGCTTATTCATTTTATAACTGGATGTTTGTGTCCTTTTACCAACCTCTTCCCCTTCCCCACTTCTGCAATCCTGGTCACCGCCATTCTGTTCTCTGTTTCAGTAAGTCCAACTTTTTTTTAGGTCCCACATATAATGATACCATGTAGTATCTGTCTTTCTCCATCTGAGATAAATAAATATATTAGTCTGTCTGGAAAAAGCCTAGCCATTGTTAATATAACAAGAATGGTTTGTACCACATCGATGGAACCTGCCGGCCAAGGAGAGTGGACTGGAAAGCATATGCGTGAACAATGGTGACTTCACTGTACTAGTCAGTGTATTAGTCGGTAGACTCTGTTGAATGAGCATGTGTACTGTGTGGCTGTGGCATTCACAATGACTAAGGGAGTAGAGCAATGACTCTGTATCAAATTTTGCATTAAGCTTGAATATTCCTCTGCAGAAACTATTCAGATGATTCAGAAGGTTGAACCTATGGGCAACTGGTGATTGGCAGCTTCTTCATGACAACACACCCCCTCATGTATCATATCATCTCATGCAGAGTTTTTTGGCAAAACATCGAATCATCCAGATGTCTCAGCCCCCCTACAGCCTAGATTTGGTGCCCTACAATTTCTGGCTTTTGCCAAAACTAAAATCTCCTTTGAAAGGGCAGAGGTTACAGACTGTCAATGAGATTCAGGAAAATATGATAGGGCAGCTGATGGAGACTTAGAGAACTGTGTAAGGTCCCAAGGTGCCTACTCTGAAGGAGACTGAGGCATCATTGTCCTATGCACAATGTTTCTTGTATCTTGTTTCTTCTTCAATAAATGTCTCTTTCATAGCACATGGATGGATACTTTATGGACAGACTTCATTGTGTATCTCATCTGTTACTATCCATTTATCCAGTGATGGACACTTAAGTTTTTTCCATACTTCGACGATTGTCAACAATGTTGGGACAAACATGAGATATAAATATTTCTTCAAGATAATGTTTTTTTCCTTTGGATCGAGTTCAAACTTTTGAACAGAACGACACAGAGAAATGGAAGCTGGACCTGTTCAACCCACTATGGCTCCCACAAGGTTGTGAAAAAACTGGTTCATGGTAGCAGTGGACTGTGTCACTATATAATAATCACTGAGAACAAAAACAGAAGTAGGCAGAATGGTATAGACATTCTGAATTCAAGATAGAACACCCACATGAAAAGCTTGGCTTCTTTTTCCAGATCCTTCCCACACAAGATGGACTTCCTCCAGCTTTAGCCAACTCAGTGGCCATTTCTGGCCATTGAGCCAGGTTACATGACTTACTCCATCCAGGAGAACTGGCTAGTTACTGAGATGTACTTGGCCTTTCTGTGGTCACTGAGTCTCACAAACCAAGCCAAACACTTCGCAGGACAGTTGCATTTTCTGAATAAAGTCATTTTGTAAACTTTTTTTTTTTATCCTTTTGAGGTCTGTTTTCTAAATTTGGCTTCCACAGTCACTCTCAGGTTCTGTGTGGTTAATTTCTTTTCCTCCAAGGATTTTTCAAACAAGGAACTAAATAGAAAACAGATATTGAGAATCTGAGAATATTAGCACTGCAAAGGACTTTTGTAACCATGTGGCCCAATGTCCTCCTTTCACAGAGGAAGACCTAGAGACCACAGAGATTATTTGATTTGCTCAAGGTCACATAGCCTTTTTAGTGGCAGAAACAGCGCTAAAACCCTGATTCTCTGCCTAGTGCTCTTTTGTCTACATTTCAAAATCCTGGCTCCACCCCTCCTGGAATGTGGGCTTGGGCAAGTCACTTCACCTTTGTCAACCTTAGTTTCCTTCTCTAATAAAATTGGGATAATAATAACTCTACCTCTTAGGGGTTTTGTGAGGATTCAGTGAGGTAATTCATGCAAAATGCTTCACAGTACCTGGCACAGAATAACTGGCTAAGAATGTGGGCAATGAACTCAAACTGCCTACCTCTGAATTTCAGTTCTGCCACTTGCTTAATTGACATTTGGCCTAGTTACTTCACTTTTCTGTGTCTTGGTTTCCAATTAAATGGGTTAAATGATAATAGTTCCTACCTCATTAAAATTGTTGTGAGTCTTAAATAAAATAACATATATAGCCCACTTAGAGTAATGCTTGGAACATGTTAGCTATTATTAGCCTGACTAGAACAATCATTTTTCATTGTTTCAGTAGCCATATACTTTACCCCAAATTCAGAAGTTTTAAAACTACCCATTTTCATATGTTTTGAACACATGCTAAAATTCTTAAGAGTAGAACCTGGTGTTCGACTTTATGTTTAAAAAAAAAAGGTCACATCAATGGTAGTCCCAGCTCCCAATCCAGAGAGGACCAGATTCAATAATTTATAGCCTATGTCAGGAGTTCAAGGGCTCCCACTCCCCAATTTGCTGAAAAGGGTAGCAGCCCCTCTTTCTGAGTAGTTCCATCTGGCATAATAATACTTATTTCTTTGTAAAGTGCTTTGAGACCTTTGGATGAAAAGTGCTATGTGAGCACAAATTGTTATCTCTTTTCCAGATACTACTTTTAGATACCAATCCAGAAGCTCCCTAAAATAGACCACAGCAGAAGTATAATCTAGATACAGATGTATCTTTCCTGTAGTATCACAATCAGATAATACACTCATGTTTCACACCATCATTAGTTTTCTTTTACATGTCATAGCATATCTGATTTGGACTGGGAAAAAACAAGATGTCCTCAAGCTGGAGTTTTTGCTGTTTAACATTAAAGGATTTTCCTCCCTCTGTTTTCCTGATTTGTGTATTTGGAATCCTCTCCTGAGGTCAACAGGAACTTTGAGGTTGATTCAACTCTGGGGGCGTGAAGCATGATGAGAAGAAATTATTCTCTTATTCCCAAATCCTCCTCTCTCTCCTCTCCTCTCTCTTCCCTCTCTTCTCACTCTCTTCTCTCCCTTCTCTTCCTTCAAGTGTCCAATTCAACCTTGTTTCTACCTTATAATTTTCTAGATTATGTGCATTCTTTTTTCAGTTGTTTCCTGGACACTTTCAATATCAGCCATGGTCAGAAATTTTAGACATTACTTTTCCTGAGTTTTTTTTTTACAATTCATAAATTTACTTATTCATTCTACCAAGAAGCATTTCTTGAAAACCTACTTTGCATACTGACCCAGATGCTAAAGAAATAATAGCCATGGTTCCTGGCAGAGCTAAAATCTAGGCAAAATTAGAGTCAGGAGTTATTACCAGTTGAGCTAGTGCCTGCCCTGGACCTCCCACTCACCCCCAACACTTTTTCCTTTAATGTTATCCCTCCCATTTGTCTTTCAGGCTCAGTGTCCCTCAGTCCTCTCAGCTCTCCCAATTCTGAGGGCAGAGAACGTATGCTTTGCAAACACGAGGTCCTCAGTATTTGCTGAACTTGACAATTTCAATCTCACTAAGGGATTAATATGCATACAAACTCCTTAAGTTATGGCTTAGTTTCTAACACATTCCATTTTATTCATTCCAAAATGAAATTATTTATTTTAAATTAGTTTTATTCATTCTTTAAAAAAATCCATTTGCTTAATATTTATTTTTCAATTTATCATTCAAAACGACAATATTTTTAGTGCCCGCTCTGGACCAAGCTTTTTATACAAGATGCTAAGGATGAAAGTGCAAATTAGACACATGGGGTCCCACTCTTTTTTTTTTTAATTAATTTGAGAGGGAAAGAGTGAAACATCGATTTGTCGCTCCACTTATTTATGCATTCGTTAGTTGCTTCCTGTACATACCCTGACCAGGGATGGAACCCAAGACTTTGGTGCATCAAGGTGACATTCCAACCAACAACCTGGCCAGAGCTGGTCTCACTCTTGAAAAGGTTACACTCTTAAAGGGAGACAGACACACAAAAGGAAATGAATACATAAAATATTTCAATAACAGGAAGAAAAAGAGGAAGAAGAGTGTGTATGATTAGATTGAAAGTGACTAGGACACAACAGCACTTGCAAGGATGGTCTCTTTAAAGAGGCAACATTTGAGCTGAGGTCTGAAGGATGAAGAGGAGTTAACCACACAGAACTCTGAGAGCAGTACATTTGAGGAACAGGAAAGAATTCCATACAGAGGGCCTGAGACACTAACAAACTTGACATCGAAGTATGGAAAAAAGGCCAGTGAGGTTAAAGACTGAAAGAACAGGAGTGGCCTGAATTAGGTTAGGGAGATCAGATCAGATTTATGCTGGGCCTTGTTATGGTAGGTTGGGATTGTATTCCAAGAACAATGGGAAATCAGTGAAGAGTTTAAGTAAGAGAATGATATGGTCTAGTTTAAAAGAGGTCACTCTACGCCGAGGGCGAGGGCCAGACTCCAGTCCTCCAACAGGTTCCCCCGCAGGTTGAGTCCCATCATGAAATTTCAAGCCAAGACTGTGGACGCGGCCTGTTTGAATCCCTTCACGTGTGTCAGTTACACGGTGGCCAGGCTCGCGGAACCTGTGCCCTGCTCATGTGTCCACACAAGCTTAACGCCGTCCGCGGCAGGCGGAGGGGCCCATGTTTGCTGCGAGTTTCCCCAGGAGAACTTCAGCGAATCCCAGATGAAAGGTGTCTCAACGGAAAACAATTAGATTTATGTAGAGATCACGGTCGCCATTGAGCTGTTATCTGTGCGGAGCAGTAGTCACATGGTGACCCATGACATCATCATAAAGGTTATTCCTAGGAAACTGTGGAAGAATTTACAAGATCCAGACCGTCCCAGACTCTAATGTTAATATATATTCGCTAGTCTTGAAGACTATGATG